CTATTTATTTTTCAGTACACATACACACACACACACACACACACACACACACACACACACACACACACAGAGTGTACAATCATAGAGGGTACTCTCAGAGCTGCATCCGTCCTCCGTTGCGGCTTCCAAAGCACGGGGGTAGGATACCGCTCTGGGAGTACACTCTATGGTTGTACGCTACCATAGAGCGTACTTCCAGAGCAGCATCTGTCCTCAGTGCTTTGAAAGCCATAAAAAAAAAAACCAAGCGGCGGGCGGCGCCAGCAGTGGAGATGTCCTGGCTCTGCAGGTACTATAGAGTTAGCCAAGGGCATAGTGAGCCTGCGAGTCGTGCAAGCAGGAAGCGGAAAAGCCGCTCATGCAACCCCCCTCACCAGCCATGCAGAGCCCCATTCACTCACCTAGGGGCATTCCGAAGGCGCCGAGCCGCGGGAGGTGGAGGGCAGCGAACAGGTGCTCACGTTGCTTGGTGCCTTTCGGGTACTGCTAGGTCGGTCAGCAGAACTGTGCCTGGCTGGAAAGGGGGGTTGCCGGGCGGCTGCTCGCGAGAGAATCGTAATGAAAATTACGATTCTTTACCATAAAACAAAACATTAATAGTTTATTTCATTGACTATTACTTGTAAAAACACAACCATATGACAATTAAGTAATGATGGTTGACCACAGTTTCATATCTATATTCCAGAGGAATAAGGGGGAAAATATCTCTAACTTTGGATTTTTTGGAAAATATTGTATCCTGAAGACACACTTGGACTAAATTGTGCATGTTAAATGATGTTGCCCCATAGACTGACCCCTTGAATTGATTTTTACTAATTCAGAGTTTTCCCCAGCCTGACTGGTGTATCAGTGGCAAATAAAACATATACTGTAAGCCTATTTGGGGTTAGAATACTGTGCAGTACATAAGATACAATACATTTTCTCTAACTTCCCCTTCCTCAAACTAAAACACAATAAAACAGCCATGGAAGCCTTCTGAAACTTGGAGAGGACGAAAAACAGCCCAACACGCAAACTGGAAGTTTGAAACGGACTTCCGGGTTGCCCGTTGGGCTATTTTTTGCCCTCTCCAGGCTTTAGGAGGCTTTATTCTCCGGAGAGTGAAAAACTGCGGAAAATCAAGTCTGAAAATTAGCTTGCCAGCGTGCCATGTGCCCTGGAGCTGACAGGGCAACGCCTCACGTGCCCTCAGAAATGGTTCCGCGTGGCATAGGTTCGCCATCACGGGTATATATAGACCTAATAAAATGAAGGGCCTAATGGAAAATGTGGCCCCATTAGGATTCTTGCTGATTGGGCCTGGTTCTCAGGGTTCCAAGTAACACTCTCAACCAAATAAGACTCCAAGGCAAGCAGTTTCTCAAGTTCCATTTTATTAGAGATGTCATATTGGCACATCTGGGAAAACCTGAATCTGAAAGCTCCTGGGGTTTCCTCACCCAAAGGAATGTCAAAATTCCTTCCCCTGCACCCACATGTCCATCACATGGTCAATTAATCCACTGTCCCAACTGGAGATGTCCCCCAGTCACGCCTCTCCATGTGCAGGCTGAACGTTCTTGATTCTCAGAGAAAAGACTTATGGGTAAAGATTGTATTGTTGATTGATCACTAAGTGAAAAGAGTACAGCTCATTCATATTTTATGACACAGAGGATGATATCACAACATTTACACCAGTATACGTAACAGAGGACAACGGTTATCAGCATCCAGGAAATCCTGAAGATCAGAATCCCCAGAGTACTAGTAAGTGTAATAATTGTAGTAGTATCTGTTGTAAGTTGGTTTTAACAATGACAATGTAGTCCTTCATCCTTTTGACATTGACTGTATGGTCTATATATACAGACTATATAAAGAATATATATTAATTCACATTCCTCTGGTTTAGAATCATACATTAACCTCTTGTATCTTCTAAAGTAAGGAGTACCTCGAATAACAATAAATTAAAATTCTAGTATATGACATTTAGGTTCATTGTATCCAGTTGTTACACTGTGTAATTGCTACAGATGGTATGTTATAGTAATGAGCTCATAGGATTTGATATCTTTCTTGTAGAGCCATTAGGTATTTGCTTTCAAAAAAAAGGGAAGATGAGTCTCATGAATAAGGGCTGATCAGATTATTTTATATGGCTTAGTGGTTGGCTCCTTTGTGCCCGGTTTCATTCTATGAAATATTTCTGAATACTTATATTTCTCTAATAGAGTCTCCATAGTCTCTGACTAAAATTAAATTCTCTGGTATTCATTAAGCAATATCCATCCCCTCCCCTCAAAAAACAAACAAACACAAGCTAGTAAAATTGTGATGGAATGTGCACCTGGAGAAGAGTGGAAAGGAGTCTTGGCAGCATAGAGCTTTCTCAGGGAGTAAGCTGTATATTCCAGAGAAAAGCCCAAATTAACAGACTGCGGTCCTAGGTCTAAGCGAAGGGGGAAGAAGCTTAGGATAGCCTGTACAATATTTCAGTGTGTATTATTAGTGTAGAGCACAGATATCAAGCTGGCAGCCCACAGGCCGGATGTGTCACGTGCAGACCAAGCCTACCCCAGCTCGGCAAATGGGGAAAACTTCATGAAACGTCACGTGACTGCAACGTAAGTTTGACACACGTGGTGTAGAGGGTTAGAGTGTCAGTAGGCAAGATAGGTGTAAGCAAATAAAAGATTGGACTCGGTTGTATTAGTTGTCTTTGGGGTTGGGCCTGATATATATGTGCAGACATAGTGTTTGTGTAAGTCTTCTTGGAAGAAGTAATTGGATTTTTTTTCTTAATATTTCTAACAATTATGTTGGAAAGATGTCATTATGGATCCTTCAGCCAAATTGCTCATTACGGATGGTTTTATGACTATGTACAGTATACAAAGCAAAGAAAATGTTTACTTGGTTATGATAACATTTCATATTTAGAGGGAGAACTCCATTTTGAGATTTTGTCATCCAGCTTTGTGATGGGATTTCATCCTACAGTTGACTTCACCTTGCATTTCTTCATATACTGAGTGTTTTTATATTTTTCTGATAATGTATTTGGATTCTCAGAAGTGGAGCCAAAGAGAATTTCATATCAATCCAAATAATAGTTTGTTTTAATCTAATGTATCATTTCCTTGTTTATCATTTTACATACATGCTATTACATGACTTTGGTATTGCAACAGTTTCTGTTTTCTCAGCATTGATTTTAGATTTCTTAAAGAAGTTGTGAGTTATACAACAGCCTAACTAATGGAAGATATTCTCACGGTGATACTAATATAAACTTGTTTTCATTGTCTTTGTAGAACTGATTGATCAATAATCTCCAATTTCCTAATGATTTTTTTTTTCAATTCCTGATGTTTAGAAATGTACAAATAGGCACGAGACTATCTAGTGAAGATCCACCCATTAGAAAAACTTTTCATAGATTTTTTTCCCCTTCCAAGATAATGGCCACTGTGTCCAATATATATATATATTATATATAAATTGTTCATAAGTATGCATCTTTTTATATTTTGAATCATATTTAGCATTATATATGTGCAATAGTCTTTTCTGTAGAGAAAGATGGTTTAATTTATGCATCAGCCTTCATTTTTTCAGAGATCCTGAAGTTATAATGGAAACCTTTGTTATTACTTTGGATATTTACCTGCAATTGCAAATTTTCAGGATTTGCTTTTGGCAATGCTTACTTTGAATGCAGCTTTTTTGTTTCAATAATTTTCAGAGATTAGAAGCATAAACTTCTTTCTGGTGAAACTTGGCAAACTCAGAGGCCAATTTTCATCAGTTCATGAAAAGGTAAGCTGGAAAGAGGTCTCAAAGTTCTGGCCAATAAAACCATTTAAACTAGTGTTTTTTTAAAAAAAAAACAATCTGGAGCCGTTCCTTGAATTCATGGAAAAGTTGATTTCTTAAATATTCATGGATAAAGCAATTTTATAGGCTAAATTGTTGCAGCTATATGATTAAAAACCTTTAAAAAGACTTTGTCTCTGTGCTTGTCTATGTTGTGTAGTAAATAACATTAAGATAGAATTGACAAATACTTATTATTTCAAGCTATTCCAAATATTGCAGGTGGTGATTGTGAATGGAACTGATTTTTCTGTACTCTTCTGCTCTGTGCCCAGATCAAGGATTAATGTAATCCTATTGATTTGTGTCGGTTGCAATGTTACACTCTGGGCTCCTTCCTCCCTCTCAGATGATTCATTCTATCAAAAGCATCTCTCAATAGCTTGTGTGTGTTTTTCTGCATTTGGGTGAATGCATGGGTGATATGATGGAATTTCCATTGTTTAAGATTTTGCAATTGACTTTTTGTTAGCTGTAAATTATAATTGCATTGAATATTCTATGGTGGGAACAAAATGTATATTCATGCAAAAAATGTTTGTATCATATAAAGCATTTTACACAAGAAACTTTGATTTGGGGAGGGAACTTTGCTTATATTAATACTACTACATTGATGTTACTTTTTAGGAAGTGAATAGACTTGAACTTTAGCTTTGATATTTCCATGTGTAAATACAATATATGTATATGATATATTGAACAGAGGAAAGTTACAGATCTAAAGCAATCTTATACAATTATGATTATATGAACTTCAGATTGTGCGATTGACTGGCAGATACTGAAGATTACATTGAATAATAGTCAATCCAGATTTTTTTTTTTTTACAGTTCAATCCCTATACCAAATAATTTTCATTCCTAGTTTTGTTAGGAAACACAAAATTGAAAGCTAAGAGTTTCCATTCTTAGACTATGCATAAAAACAACGTATCACTTGTGCCTGCGACATTGGGAAAATATGTGATGGAATTCCAGCATATATTTCTTAACTATCATCACTTCTACTCTTCCCATTGTGTTGAAATGGAAAGTTGCTATATTGTTCTTTACTTCATTGGGTTCTTCCTCTTCTTCCTGATATTTCTATCTGTTCAAGGGCTTCTGTTCTTTGTATTGTTCTTGCTTTCACTTTTATAATTGAAAATTATCTCCATTAGATTTATTTCTTTGTATTCCACAATGGAAATTATAATATTGTTCTCTATTTCTGCATTGCCACAAGGAAATACTAAAACATACAATTTGAACAAAAATAACTGAAAATTTTATCCTTGAACTAGCTTCCTATTTGAAAATCCTGTTATAGAAAATTAAGAAGCTTCAGTTCAAGAATGCTGGGTATCCCATTTTGTATCCAAACTGACAATAGAAATGTAAATGATCATTGTCCTTTAACATAACTACAATGAAACTAGATTTGTTTGAGAAACAAAACATCTGGATTTAAAGAGCTCAACTTTCTACTACTATCAGTATTTTTTTTTTCCTTGAAGTGCTTCAGAAGTAACCTCATTGTTATTTTCTGGATGTGACACTATGTTTATTACTTGGATTCCCTCTACAACCCCCACATCTTTACTTTGTGTTCATAATGTTTGTGTTGTTAGTGTGTAATCCATCTTGCCTTAGATTACTCCCAAAATAAAATACATATGAGCATATTATTTGAAAACCAACAACAGTAGGACTATTTAAGGACACAGGAAGTGACCGTTTATCATCTTCTATGGGGAAGTTCTATTGATCGAAGACAAAAAATAAATTCAGCACTGTGGTTATTCTGCCATCATTGCAGCTGAAGAAAATTCAAATCATGGAAAGCACCATGGAAATTCTAGTCAAGATCAGCAAATCACTGAAAATTTTCCATTATGGTTGCCATCTGAAGAACATAAAGGAATGCAGAATACAACCACCAGCAAGGGTAAACTCTTGTAACATTTTAGTCAATCATAGTCTCTTGTCTATGCTTTTTTTCAAAATCTCTGGCCAAAAATTTGATTTCCCTGGGAAAAAAATGTTGCATATATTCTTCATGAGTGCTGCTTGAAAAGTTCTGCTATTGGTGCATTAGAAACATGAACTGTAATAGCCAAGTAATTGCCTATGTCATACGGAAATTTGTTGCTTTAAGAGGGTACTACTTTAAGTATGCTTTAAGGACATGCTATTTTAGGAATTAATCTATGTACTGACATGTAGAAAAGCTAATGGGCATATCTCTTGCATATATAGTATGGAAAGACATATAATTGCTTCACCTAAAATTATAGTGCAGGGGCATTGCTTGTTAATAAACTGACCCAATTAGTTTTAGACAAATTTAAATCTTTCTTTCAGTTTACAGTACTTTTAAAAATAAAATGTGCCCCATAATTTACATGCAGATAAGACCTGCAAGCATTTCCTTTTTAATATGTATTTTAAGTCAAACACCCATGTCTTCAGGTTCTACACCAATCTCAGTGCCTTGTAAATCAGAACTATTTAAAAGCAGCCCATTTCTATGAGAGTTATAATTTAAAGGAAAAAAAAATAACAACATGACAAGGAAAAGTCTTATATCAGCTAGTTCCTTAATGGATTTAAACTGGGCTGTGTAATTGGAGAAGAACAAAATATTTCTAAAGTCCTGCATTGTGTTTCTCTGCCTTCATTTTGTCATAAATTTTCCATTGTCATGCTGAGGTTCCACTTACACCTCCATAGTCATATATTCCTGAGACTTGATACAGAAACTTATTTTCCTGACAAATACTTCCTCTTTTAATTCTCTGCTGAATCCAGAAAGTTGTCATTTTGATTTCCTTTTTACTCTCTTTATGTGGTTCCTTCAAGCCATATTGTTAAGCTTGGAGAGTTTTCCTCCATATTTTATCAGCCGAATAGCTACTGTGCCATCAGTAAAAGGGTGTTGAATGTATTATTCTCCTCTGGATCATAGTCACAGCAACTCTATCCAGTCTAGGTATGAATCTACAGTTTTCTGGAAGTATACTTTCCAGAAGATGCTATCATTTATCATGCTCTGGATATGGTCTAGAAGACACTTTTCAGAAAGATTCACTTTGGAAAAACTACTAGGCCATGCCTAGAATAGCTGGATCAGCATTATCTGGAAGAAGAAATGTATATTTCCCTCAACAATTCTATCTTCACAAAAAGAAGAGTTTGTACATACATACACTTACATTCTTCCAAAAAACTCTCTCCCCTGCCCCATTTTATGGGGGAGATTCTAAGAGTTAGGATTAGGTTTGTAATTAGAAACAATCTCTCAAGTAACTCATATCTCATTGAAATGTTGCAGTTGCTGAAGTAATGATGATCCAGTATGTTTTTACTAGCAAAATGTGTTTTGCTTCCCTTAAATCACAGACTGCACAATCCAGATTCTAACATTTGTTTAAAATGAACTTGATTTTACACACACACACACCTCTGAAATTAGATGATCCATTCTTCATATCTTATTGACTATTCCAATCAGTGAAGCAAGAACATATTAATGATGTAGGCAACAGAGAAATAGATAACAGGATGAAAATATAAAAATCTTACCATAAGTTTACATCAATAAATCAATAGATCAGAGTTTTGAAGATGATGATGATGGTGGTGGTGATGATGACGAAGAAGGGTCTGGGCAAAAAAATCCTGAAACAGTTCTTGAGTGGGACAACAGTGGTGATAAGGAACTTCAGACGTCAAATACCAGTAAGAACTAATCCCTAATGTGCATTGTATTATAGAAAATAATTAAGGTATGACAAAGTGCCTTTTAGATGTAGGCTTAGATCTTCAGTAGTATAGTATTTGTATTGATCTACAAAAGATTATTTTATCTGAGATAGATAATAGTAAATAATAGAATTTAAGTTGAAACAGGCAGATGATTTTGCGCTGTATTTTTCTGCATGGTCTATTTTGCATAGCTGACATTGGCTTTTGCATTGGAAAATGTCTGCCTTGGCTAATGCTGGAAATGGAAACCCAGCAATGCTCTCAAGATGAAAGGTTTGTGCCTACAATCTGTGCTTAATTTGAATGGAAAGGGGCTAAATTCTGAGCTGCCTTACCTGCTTTCCATTGGTATCTGTTTTATACTTTCACTTGGCAAATCCAAAATTAAATGTCAAATGGGTAAACATCTGTGGTGGATTTAGCTTTGGTTTTGGTGGTGGTTATTATGGGCTCATGCTGCAGTGTTCTCTACTCATAAATCTAAATATTTCTATTATTACTTGTTAATAGCCACGTTGTTAGTTAACAAGTGTGTTCAATTAATACCATTTCTGCTATCTTTTTCTATTTTAATTTATTTTGTTGTACCTATGCTGCTGTTGGGGAGCAGGTAGTATGGGTGGGTGAAGGAACTGCTGTATATGGTTGATGCACATTAACATTATATGAAGAAGTTAATTTTAAAAAAATTATCACATATTGAAAAGGTGTTACCTTTTATTTTTTTATTCTGAGTTTCCTAACGTGATTGATTCTGTTCCTATCGTAACAAACTATTTGCCAGATGAAAATTTTCTTCTTATGTAGTTCTATGCCAAAAGATTCTTTACTACCCTGTTTCCTTGAAAATAAGATCTCCCTGGATAATAAGCAAAATCGGGCTTTTGAATGCACTAAAGTAAGCCCTTCCTGAAAATATTGCAACATAGCAGCAGCCATGAGTTGACCACGTTCGCTGTCTCCTGCACCTCAAAAATAAGACCTCCCCAAAAATAAGGCCAAGCGCTTATTTCAGGCATAAAAAGAAAATAAGACCCTTATTTACATCTGATTATTTTGGGGGAAACACGGTATATAGTTGTTATGGGCCATGAAGCTATTCAAGGTTCAGCTTTTTAAAATGTTATTGTTACACTTATATGCTTGGGGTTGTTGATTCAAACGTAATTTCCTTTAATGTAGAACCAGTTTGATGTAGTGGTTAAGGCATCAGACTAGAAACCACCCACAATGAATGCTTTCAACTAAGGGAGAAGATATTGCTTGTTCTTTTACATCTGATTATTTCATCTTTCTATACCAGAAATAGTGCATTTCTCATGAGATAGTCATGCTTGGGGGCTCACATAGGCAAGTTTTTCGAGTACATGAAAGTACATGTGTGATTTGTACTTTTAAAAACCTGTGCCTTAGCACACGCACACACACACACACACACACACACACACACACACAAACACACATATTATTCTCTAATATAACTTAAGCCCAAGTGCTAGTTGATAGTGGGATTCCAAATATTCAAGCCATTGTCAATTGAAGCAGTGAAAATTAGAGGGGTCCAGGAGGGGAGAAATTGGAAATAGAAACTAACAATTAGAAATGGGGAAAAATTTAGTTGAGCCAAGGGGAAAAATGTCCTCTCTTGGACCAGACTGAGTCGAAACTGGAGCCAAGGAGGAGTCAGAGAGGCATGACTCAATCTCTGGGCAGATTAGGACATGATAATCCCATTCCTGGACCCTCCTGCCACATACTGAGAAGCAATGTCGCAGATAGACCAACATTTCTTCTCTAAAATAACTTAAGCACAAGTGCTAGTTGGTAGTAGGATTTCAAATGTTCAAGCCATTGTCAATTGAACCTTGTCATAACAGCTGTGAACTCCACCAAAGATGTCAAACAAGAAGAATCATCCCACAATATATTGCTACCTGCTGTACATTCTGGAAGGGACAGTGAAGTCAGATACTCAACAAATGACACAATTGCGGATGTCCTACCTGGAATTGTTGAACAATATTCAACCACTACTGGTATGAGGAATTAAATATGATACTGAACATATTTATGTTGGTTTGAAGTAGAATTTCTTCCCACAGTATCAAAACTCAGAATGTAGTTAGTCATTGGAAGTATTGATAATTTTAACTGCAGTATGCAGTTAATACATTGTGATTACTTCAAACAGGAAAATAGACCCAAACATATAGAACCATTTTCCAGATGTGTTTGCTTTTATCTACCAAAACCATGAAGGTTGAAGGTTATTATATTATATAATGTATATTATATATTATGCAGCTTTGATGAAGCCAGAGTCTCACAAGTGGCATTTTAACATTATTTCAGGCTCCAGAGTTTTGTGAAGGTTACTGAAATGCCAGATTGGTGCATTGCTCTGTCAGGATTAAATTAATAATTAAATTTAATTGTGGCACATGGAGTAGTACTCGAACTGTGAAAGTAACTTCAGGAAATTTATGAATGGTTAGGTAAAATCAAATTCTCATTTAATGTTTCTTAAGAAGCTAATGTTATTAATAGACATTTAGAAATTGGCTTCAATCTATTGCTTTTAGAAAGTTGAAATAAAACGTGAGGTTGCTTTTTAGGTATACCTTGATTAAAGAGAACTGCTTAAACAAGTGATTCCCAAACGTGGATAAATTATTTAGAATTGTATAAAAGTAATGACCCACAAACCCATTTACCTATATTGGGTAAAAAGGACTTTTGCAAAGTGGTTGTGTACAATAAAGGAAAGCACTGTTTTGGAAGCACTGACTTAAACCATTTCACAAACAAATCCTTGGGTAATAATAGTTGCTTTTTATCTAAAGGCATTATTTTGCTAAAATTAAAACAATAGAAATAGATCGCATTTGTATGTTGATATACAAACTTGGTTGTACAGTTGCAGCTTTATTTCTTATGAAAAGTATTGCCATTTTCTCTTGAAGATGGGAAAATCTCTCTTACTGCACTGGGCTTTTTGTGGGCTTTCTCTTTTGAGTTTTCAATTACAATTTTTCTCAGTATCTAAAGCTTTTTCTCTTAGATTTAGTGATCATAATGTGTAATGCATTATGTTTTCTGCTAAATTATTTAATAAGTTGACAATGAAGGATATATCTGGTACTTTAGCTTCAATATTTCATAGTGCTTCTACTTCAATTTCCTTGGATTTATACAGCAGCACCTTTAGAACTGAATAAGCTTAATTGTCTGAACTTCATCCTGGCAATGAATGAATGCCATTCAAAATAAGCCTTTGGATTGACAATATAAATCTGGACTATGTATCTGAAGTGAGTGTCCAAAATATTTCAAGAAAGAAAATGTCCAAATAAAAGAAGAAAAGGAAGAAAAAGGAGAATGTTCTTGGACTTAAGATGCTACTGTGAATCCAGATGGTACAAAGCCTTTTGCATCTATCAAACACATTTGATAGATCAGATAAGGCTGCAAGCTGCTGTCACATCTTTTCTGCCTCTACTGCTGATATATTCCTTCTACTATTGTTCCTGGTGTCTGGGGCATCTCTGGAAAATCAACCATTTCTGAAAAATGTGGTGCTGATTATGGGGCCTGTGAATTCAACAATACTTTACAAAATTTTATATACTTTCCTCTTCCTCTGCCTAACACACATAATGGAAGTGCAAGCCATATATATATGGTGCATATATATATATATATTAACAAAATAATCTGGAGGGTTATTCAGCAAACATAATAATGGAATTGATTCAAAACATCATCATAACAGCTGTGTCCTCCAGTGATGATTTCTTCAAGCAGGAAGACTCAAAGCAGCCTCAACTGGAGGGTGCATCCCCTGAGCTGGAAATTGAAGACACAGTATCCCCTGCAATCAACACTTCAGACGAGTTACATCCAGAATTTTCTGCTTCTGATGAAAAAGAAAGTACCCTGGAAAAGGAATCTTTTCATCACCCAGGTAACAATATGAATACTTCCATTACAGAGACAACTTTCTCTTTACATTTTCTAAACAAAATACATTACTCTTCGACACAAGGTGTAAATTAAAAAAGAACTGTGTCCCCCCCCCAAATTCACTCTTAATTATTTTAGAGTTGATTTAGATAGCAATTTACAGATTTAAATAATGACTCTTCAGTAAGACCTTATGTGAAACGATATTTATATACCAGTAGTTACTTTGCAAAGCCATTCTGTCTAGAGATATACTAGAGATGTGAAGTCAGTTTCCAAACAGAATTACTCTCTCAGAATCTATATTCTTTATTTCTCTGTAAATTCACCTGTGAATTTGCAAATATCTTAGACAGGTTTGCAGTTCTAATTTATAAGAAGCAGCAAGGTTCATTCCAGGTAACAAAGCTCTTCCTTTGACATCTGGTATATCATTGTCTGACATGGACAGTTAAAGTGTAGATGAGCCAGTAGATTGATGTAATAAAAGGTTTCAGAGCTAAGAATAGAAGTTTATAGACTTTTTACTACCTGAGCAAATTAGAAGTCTCTGCTGCATCTATCTGGAAGTGCAATGACTCATGTCAATTTACAATTATTTGTTATTGCATACTGCATACAATTTGATTAAAGTAAAATCTTGGATTTCAGGTGATTTGAACCTCCTGAAATTACTGAAATTAGTTTGTTGCCTAAATTTGATTCATAGAAAAAGCAGATATTTTGGCTTAATTCTGTTTCCATATAACTTGGGGAATTATACTTCATGTGGTTACCTACTTTAATACTGGCAGGAAATTTGTGAAATACGCTGAATCCAACACACCTAATAACTTTGGCAGCTTGTTGATATTAGAGATCTAACACGCAAGGAAACAATTGTATATGCTCCTTTTAAACTAAGCCAGAAAGCCTAAATACATATTTGTTTGTCAAAGCACCTTCAGACCTTTGAATCTGAGACACCATCAACTGAATAGACAAATAGTTAAAATTTATTCCTGCCTTATTTATCATAACTGCAACAGTTACTTTCTTCAATGGAAGCGTTGAACATGAAGAAGAGCATCAACGTCAGCCATCAGCTGTTGATACAATTGCACAAAGCAGTCAAAGTTCTGTCGCAAACAGGACAATCCATGATATCCTACAAGTACTTGTATCTCCAAGGGACAGCTATTATGAAAATGCATCTTCTCAGTCAGGTATTGGCAGTATGACTGTTGAATATAAAATTTACTGTGTTGCATGTAACATTATTTCTAGCAGTGTGGCCATGAACAGCACTCATGGTTCTACTATTGTAGGTGGGCATCTTCTAAAATCTGCTCCATTAAAGGAAATGTTATAGTACAAATTGAAATTTGAAATTTCCTTTATTTTGATTCTGGCAGAAAGTGAGCCATGTTTAATCTATTTATTAAAAATTGAATTCTTTTTTGGAAATTATTTGTGCCAGTGAGTTCATTCTTTTGGATAAGTTCTTTACTTTCTTAATAATGGTGTTCTGCTTCCCAGAAACATTTATATAGTAGATAGAGCTAGGTAAAACAGACAGAAGGAATTAAGAAGAAAATTTGTGCAAATATGATTACAAAAATAGTTCTCATGACCTGTTGAGGCTGCATTAGGTGGTCAGCACTTGCCTAAATAGGTGGATACTGCCTGCATTTTAAATGCATTACTGGAAATCACTTGAAACAGCTTCCCAGATGAAAATAGCCATGAAAAAGGAAAGGTTAAAAAAGAAATACTTTCCTTTTTGTTACTGTCGTTATTGAAAGTTTATTATACATTCCCAAGTATATTTTGTTTAATGACCACATTTTGGACTAGCAAGCCAGTCACTAAGCAATGCGGTTGTTATGTGAGTCACCTGTAGTTGTTAAGTGACACACTGCATGACTGAATTGTGTCTTTACTTGACTGCTTGTTGGAAGCTACCTGTGAAGTACACAAATGGCAATCATGCGATCATTGAACATTGTGACAATTGTTAATGCCTCCCAATTGTGAAGTGCCCAAAAGGCACTTCACATGATTGTAGGTATGAGAACAGGTCAAAAAGTTAGTTTTTCAACACCGTCATAATTTCAAACAGTCATTAAATAGGGCAGATATTAATTGGGGACTACTGTGCAATATAATATTCCTCTTTTTAATTCTAGCAGAAAAGGGAATTATTCCACAGCAGTATTTGTTATTTGTAAAAGAAAATGCATTTATTTTGCCCTAATTTTTCCAGCTGAATTAGGCCCTGTAGATATAGATGTAATATACTTAGTTGTACATGACTAAATGATGACGTTTAGCTTCATATTGAGAGCCAGTTTGATTTAGTGATTAAG